TGCCTGATAATTCACCAAATCCTGAACTACTCCCGCCGAGCCGGTTTCGTTATCCGAATCCGTCTACGAGGAAAATGACTAACTGCATTCAAGTAGGTTGTTGGTACGCGGCTTCCCAGTCGGCTGGCCCAATACCACGCCTGGACTTGAACCAATTTATCTAGGTCACCACCCAAAAATTCCTGGGCTTCGGTTTGCAGTTATCATGACTGAACAACGATTCCTCGTGACCGTGGGGGTTTACCCCATCTACTATTCATCGAACACCGGGGTGTGTAATCAAGAAGAGAAAGGTGACGCGCGAGTATAGAACCACCAAATAGTCCATTTGTTTACAATCATTCCAAATATTTAGATAAAGTTGAAAACTATGCGCAGATAAACAATCAAACCTATCTTTGTTTGAACTTACCAGCAATGAGAAGCAATGACTGACAGGAGCGATAGATGGACCGCACCGTAATCAAATACAGTTGAAATCCCATGAGAAACAAGAAGAATGTGGTGAAGAATTGTAGTGCACAGGCTATGACAAGTAAGAGAAATCCAATATGCCAGGCTAAATGAGGCATATGTGTCAGGTGAGTGTAATGTCCACAACCGGTTTGCCATTGTACCGGTGGACGGCCACGACTACGACCGGGACGTGTACGAGGATGCGTGTTTACCGGATCCGCGGAAATCCAGCCAGCATAAATCGGGTAACCGCAACGTCGAAATAATCCCAAATCGGTAGGAAATGCTATTTGCGATTCCGGAATAGAGTGGACCACACCGGATTCTCCATTATCCAAATTGGGTTGTTCTTTTCGGGTTATCGTAGAACCTGGAGAAATAAGGTACACGGATCCCTTAAGCCAGTATGGTAGGAGACATCCAACTGTACATAGTATAGCCGCAAGCCAGGCAAGAGAGGACCACAAGAGCCAAATGCATCGCATTCTGGCTTCTCATCGCATCACATAGCTGTAGGGCATCATGTATGCAACTGCGGTGCCAAACCGAGCTACCGTGTGCTTGACCGAAGTCATTGAAGTTTCTTGCGCTTGCGAAAGCCAATCACGTGCAAGGCTTTCAGTCTGGTACTGACTGCGTGCTGATTGGACGTTTAATCGCTATTGTGTGATTGGCCAGCGGTCGGCTGGGTGTGGTTGGTCAACTGCGTCTATGGTCAGGAGTTTAGAGGATGAGGCTGTGTGATGTCCAACCGTTTCGGGATGAACTGGTGTCAGTGGTTGGTAAAAACGTCGTGCGATGTGAGCGAATACACCTGAACTGATATTTCGGTGACACATTATTGTATTCGAACTGCGAAAAACCCCGTAAATAAGAAACAACTTTTTTGCAATATTGGATAGTTTTATTTACACGCACTCCCCTCGAAAATCGTAAAAATTCACACCGATCTCTTCCTGCAGCTGGTCATCATTAAACAGGCTCTCAATAACCTGCTAACGAACAATTTCGAATAACTTTCTCATACAGTGTTATTTGTTAGGAACCGGAATTCATATTCACAAGCAAAGAAGCTCTTTCAACATGTGAATATGCGATCGAAGTTCAGGGAGATATTGAGAAATTTCGACAGCATTGACAGAATGGAAGAACTGAACCGAATTTATTTTTCCGGTTCGCCTGAATACGGGGAGTGCCGTTCAGAGAAGAAACAAGTTATGCATTGATTAAAATGGGTTTTATTTTTCTGTCTTTCTTTTTTTTCTTTTCATTTTACTTAATTTTATTGAATACACAGTGACACAATTTTCAGGAAGGGGTAAGCGGCCAATCAAAGAGGCTGCCTTACAACAGACAATGGGGAAGGTCAGGCGGTGGTGGTGGGATTCGAACACATCCCCGGGGTGCTAATTTGGTTACCACCGGGCCACCACCGTTCTATCAAATTTCACAATGCGATAAATGGTTAATCATCATGAATTTCACACCAGTTTTGCTGTTGAACTCCGTACACTTCGTGGTATCACAAGAAACTATTATGCACAACAAATGATGGACATCCGTGTGCGAAGTTTCATTTGACAATCGCTAGTAAAGGACTTTTCCTTCCGATGTGTTTATTTTAATCGTGGGATCCAGGTTTAGGAATGTTTCAAACACTCGAGATTATTTGACGAGGTCATAGTTTGGGCCTAACTTTTGGCATCTGAAATAGGGCTTACTGTAACGATAACCAAATTCTTTCACTGACCTTGAAAATCGAACGACCTTGGGAAATCAATGAGCAACTAGGCTTTGAGCGACTAACCTCATACTGAACATTATCGAAAATCCATACCAGTTTATGATCACGCATTTACGCGTGTTAAAGCAATATATTATATTACAGTGTGTTGTATCAAGTATGAAAAATGTGGGCACACAAATTGAGCTAAGTAAAAAGCAGCTATTCGTTTTGTAGCGCGTTTTTCGTTCGGCCAATGTTGTGGTTAACTGAAAATAATAATGATCCTTTGCTCGATTAATAGTTGATCAGGTACTCTATCTGCCGGAGTGATGACATGTTGGTTAAGCCACGTGACAACGGGATTCGAATGAGAACACCACATAGATATCTGTTGATGAGAATTTTAGATGATAAAAATGGTTCAAAACTACCTATACGCATCATTGCTCTCGTCGTGTTGCATTTAATTGAAAAGGTGAACATAATCACCGGTTCGCATGAAACAGCCCACTTTTCTTGGCCCCTTTCAGTCGGCAATGACCCTAACTCAGTCGGATCACTCTTACACTTTAGCAAAAGGTTGCATTACTCACTCTTATTCCATCTAGTTAGTGAAAAACTGCCTGTATGCTTCCTTGGACATTTCAAAGACACGTGGGTAGCAGTTTCAATAGAACAGGCAATACTGGAAAATACCCGTGGACTGCATCATGAAGTTAATTTGGCAAACAAGCTCGTTTTCAGTGCCCCATTTACTAGCCAAATACAGCACTCTTTTATAGTTCACAAAATTACATAATTCAAGGAAACAGAAGAAAAACGTAAATAATGTTTGCTTTGGTATGCGTGTGTAGGGATGCTATGGTTAATACAGCAAAGGGTGTATGAGAGTTCAAATCATTCTGTAAATGTCATTTGCACTGTCGAATGAATCAAATACAAAAACGATTTGACACTCATTTGATAACCGGTTTTGTGTCACTCTAGCGTTTATGGCTGGTCATGGTAAATCCGGAGCTCTGACCGACTGCTTTTGAACGCACAAGGGGGGAGGGGGGGGCTGTTCAACCGAATAGCAATCGTTTAGGCTGTTGGCAGTAAGCGATACTTGACCTGTTTCGGTCTCCTCCTTGGTGATAGTGTAGATGGGCCCGATCGCTTCACTCATTCTGACATGATGTTCGGTTTGGACCAAATGAACCGCGATCGCCGTCCCCCGGTTCTCGTCAATCCGCGACCAGGCCAGTTGGGATAGTGTTCTCGAATACGTTCAGTCAAGCGGCAGGTGGTATGGCTAACAAAAATGTCAAAAGCGGAGAAGAAAATGCTTTTCATAAAACTTCCGTTCAAAGGCGATGTGGCCACTGAAAGGGTCAGTAGAGTTTTATCCTCAGCAGTGAAATCTACATTTAATGCCACTCAGCTAAGATATGTGTTCTCTACGTCACCAAACATCTGATGCTGCAACAAAGATAAACTGCATATGTTGACCTCATCTATGATTGTCTACCAATTCAAGTGCACTTGGGGTGCGACTTATTTAGGTCGAACGACAAGGCAGTTATCTCAACGTACCAAATAATGCAATCCACGCTGGCTCACATAGGGCGGGAGTGGAGCTGTGTCAAGCTCGATCGTTGCTCATCTGATAGAGACGTGTCACTTGGTTTACATGCTTTCTGCATTTAGAGTCACTTATCGAGTCTCATCACACTCCTCGAGAGCAATACTGCTTCGGACGTTAGCAACCGCTGAGGCGAATAGCATCCGACTCATGAAGCCTGAGCTGTGTACATAACGCAAACTGATTCAAGCTCTCAAACTCCCCTGGTCAGAGGAAGAGAAAATCGCTTGTTCACACGATCATGACGTAACGACTTTGGTTATTTGATCCAAACAGTGCACACATTCGGAGTTCTCTTGGGCTCATTGCCAAACACAGGACTCGTCCACCTTTCCGTTTGACCGTATCGAAATTGTTTCATATAAATGTGATTGTGAAGGCTTGAAAAGGAATTCACCGAAAACATATGTTCGCCTGCACTGTCCATAATACACATTCTTTTATGTAGCCATCCAATACTTCGGTTTCCGATTTCGCCATAAACACATCTGCCAAATAGGCCATCCCAACCAGTTAGTTATGCTAGCTACAATGATAGAACGAACAATAATTAACAAATTCAATCGACAGTGGCCACTTCAAACGAATTTTGTACTCTGCGGGCTTCGTAAATTTTGGCCTAATATGAGCGACAAATTAGATAGGTAGATGGCTGTACACACCGAGTTCATTCAGTGAAGCAAACCAGACACCCGGGGTTACGTTGTTTGTGCTTGCGACTATTCTATACACGTATGTTGTTCATCCATCTGCTTACGAATGCTAATTGTGCTACTATATTCACCTCTGCTCCAGAATGTGTGTGTGACACACGATATAACCCTCGAACCAGTGTGCCTGACATTAGGGTTACACAAGCGAGCAACAAAGGCGGCGTCGACGTT